TTTGGAAAAAACAGCAATATCAAGCTAGGCATTTTAAAGCAGAGTCAGATCTCTTAGTTGTGGTGGCGCGGTGGTTAGAATGCAGGATTGCAGACTAACTCTGTCTGTAGCCAGGAGTTTGATCCTGACCAGCTCAAGGTTGACTCAGCCTTTCATCCATCTGAGGTCGGTAAAATGAGGACCCACTGGGCAATATGCTGATTCTGTAAACTGTGCCATAAAGCACTATGGGGTGGTATATAAGTCTTAAGTGTTATTGCCATTGCTACTTGTTTTGTTTCCAAGAAACAACGTGGATGTTTCTTCTGAAATCATTTCCACTAGCCCTCAAAATTTAGCAAATCCTTGAATTGGAATTAGCATTATGTCTGACAGGTGAAATCTCACCGGCTCAAAGTTGACTCAGCCTCCCGTCCTTCTGAGGTGGGTAAAATGAGGATCCAGATTGTTGGGGGCAATATGCTAACTCTGTAAACGGCTTAGAGAGGGCTCTAAGGCACCATGAAGCGGTATACCGGTATATGTCTTAAGTGCTATTGCTGTTTATATCCAAAAGGTGAAAAAGCAGAATTGCATCCCTTTTCAGGCCATATTAAGCTCTGTTTTGAGTATAGAAATTAATACTTTTCTTTTGAAGTTCTATACTTTGACAAGTATACTTTGGATAATTTACACCATGTTTCCTCCTGCATTTTCCTGCTGGATAATTGATTCAAGGAAAGAGAATGGAGGAAGTTTGAATTGAATTTTATGCTAAAATAGATCAGGAGGTCAGAAGAGTATCTGTATAAAGCAGGGGTGAAATTCAGTAGGTTCTGACAGGTTTTGGAGAACTGGTAGTGGAAATTTTGAGTAGTTCGGAGAACCGGCAAATACCACCTCTGGCTGGCCCCAGAGTTGGTTGGGAGTGGGGATTTTGCAGTATCCTTCCCCTGCCATGNTAATCAAGGAGAGAAGCAACCTGGAATTAAGGAGAAACTTCATAACAGTAAGAACTTTGCTCCTAGAAGCTTTGAAGAAGAGACTGGACAGTCACTTGTCTGAAATTGTATAGGGTCTCTTGCTTGAACAGGGGTTTTGACTAGAAGACCTCCAAGGTCCCTTCCAGCTCTATTCTGATTGATTGATTGATTGAAGTGATGGTTTCAGATGGGTTTTGCAGGGCTGTGTAAGGTGACCATGTCCAAGCCTTGTGGATTGTTGTGGTGGGAAAGAAAGAGAGTACCCAGATCATGAGAATCACATCCTGACATCTGGCAGGGAAGCGATAGTTGAATATTTATCCATTGTCTCTGTTTCCGGAGCTCCACTGGGACCTGGTTAATTGGTTGTTTATTTTATACTAGCCTGTTCCATTGAGAAGCAGGACATTATCTGCCCATGTATTATGTAGGAGATGTTCATGCAGAGCTTTGGACAAGCAAAAGATCATTCCTCCTGTTGTTTTCTCCCTGGACTACAGAAAGCATTTCCCATAGATGATGATGATGATGTTGATATCTCCCCCTCCCTCCCTCCCTCCCTCCCTCCCTGCCTCCCTCCCTCGCTCCCTCTCCCACTCCCACTCTCACACACACAAACACACTTGAACCATCGTATCCCACCTCAGATTATTGGAGTATCTGTATTAGTCTTAGTTGTTAGGATTGGGTGCTTCTGATCTTAAAACCATTTGATTACAGGTAGTCCTCGACTTACAACAGTTCATTTAGTGACCGTGCCAAGAGCACTGAAAAAAATTGCTTATGGCTGTTTTTCACACTTACGACCATTGCAGCATCCACATGGTCAAAATTCAGAGGCTTGGCAATTGACTCCTATTTATGACATTTCTGGGATCATGGGATCAACTTTTTGCAACCTTCTGAGAAGCAAGTCAATGGGGAAGCCAAACCGGTTTAACAACCGTGATACTAACTTAAGAATCTCCAAAATGCAGTTTTAAGGAGTTTTAAGTGTTTGATATATATGCAAATAGAGGGGAAGAAATGAAGGTAGTGACAGATTTTATTTTCCTGGGCTCCAAGATTACCACAAATGGGGACTGCAACCAAGACCCTTGCACCTGGGGAGGAAAGATAGACAGCATACTAAAAAGCAGAGACATTACCCTGCCAACAAAAGTATATATAGACAAGGCTATGGTTTCCCCTGTTGCAATGGATGGCTGTGAAGGTTGGACCTTAAGAAAGGCTGAGCACCAAAGAATGGAGGCCTTTGAACTCTGGTGCTGGAGAAGACACCTGCGAGTCCCTTGGACTGCAAGGCGATCCAACTGGTCAGTCCTAGAGGAGTTCAACCCTGACTGCTCTTTAGAAGGCCAGATCCTGAAGAGGAAACTCAAATACTTTGGCCACCTAATGAGATGGAATGACTCACTGGCGAAGAGCCCAATGCTGGGAAAGATTGAAGGCAAAACAAGAAGGGGACGACAGAGAATGAGATGGGTGGATGGAGTCACCGTAGCAGTAGGCATGAGCTTAAATGGACTCCAGAGGATGGTAGAGGGCAGGAAAGCCTGGAGGAACATTGTCCATGGGCTGCAATGGGTCGGACATGACTTCGCAACTAAACAACAACATATATGCAATGTTGAAAATTGAATTGGTGCTCCAAATATTACACTACACCCCCACAGCTATACTACATTTGATTTTAGCCAAAAGTTGAAAAGGGAATTTTTCCAGAAAAATTTGAAACTGTTGACAAATGGGCAAATCTGATTTTGGCTGACCAGCACATTCTTGTGACTAACATCACTGCCAAGGCCACAGTTTTCAGAAATAACTTTTTTCTTCGGTCCTACCTGGAGAAGTTGGAGATTGAACCAAGACCTTTAGCAACACAGTGCACAAATTATTTCCCTCTATTAGGCAAGGCTCCACTGGGGTCTTGAGGGAGCATTTGGGGACAGACTGAGATATGTAGAAGGCAGGATAGGATAGGTGGGAAATAGATTAGAAACTAATATGTATATACAGCATTAAAGAGCAATGCAGAATAGTTCAAACTTGGATCTAACAGTCTTCCATCCGTTGCAGAAATGGAGAAGGTCCATTCTATGGGTTTCAGTCGGTCCATGGATTCTCATACACCTTTCCACGTTAGTCCATCTTCCCAAGGATTTTGTGATATGCATTGTCCATTCCAGTACATTCTGAAAACTCAGAAATATGGTCAACAGGTTCATCATCATCATTGTTTCCTAAAAGTTGAAATTCAAAGCATGTTTCTTGTGACTCTAGAATTAGTAAATAGCCATTGAGCATGGTATCAATGGGTCGTCCAAACATCCATGAACTTGCCAATTCTCCTTTGAAGACCAAGAGAATGATAGATTTACAATCATTTTGGGAATAAATTCCATAATGTATTGCATAATGTAAAAACAAGTCCATCCTTGAGTTCTCTAGTGAGATCTCTACCTGTCTTCAAGGTTCATTTCCTACCACTGATGGTGAGAACCAACTCTTAATTTGCAGTGCCTGCAATAGTAATAGAAGGGGTTGAGATTTAAGGAGAGAACAATTTCTCACCTTCAAACTGAAGCACTGTAGACAGATCAGTCCATCCTTGGAGTTGTCCCAAAGGTGACAAGAGGCAACTGAACTTTGTTTTTCCTTGAAGATGTTTTGCTTCTCATCCAAGAAGCTTCTTACACAGTCAGAACTGAGGAACTGAAGGCATTTCTTGGATGAGAAGTGAAACGTCTTCAAGGAAAACCAAATAAAGTTCATTTGCCTCTTGAGAAGACACCTTTGGGACAACCATGACCTGGATGACTGAGAATCTCCATAGATACCCTGGAAGTTGAATTGACTGAATTGATTCCTCATCTCTAATCCTGATGCTCCAAGTTGCTAAAGACTTCGAGAACTTTAATGTCTGCTTTTCTTGTAGAATTTGATTTGTGTAATACCGAAACCTGTTTTGCAAATAATCTATTATTTTTCATGAATCTGACTGAGCTGGCATCATACATAATGCTTCTCTTGGCTTAATGCTGCCTTGAACTGTCTCAGGAGCCCAGTATAATGTCTGAGAAGATCCATTGTTCTTCTTCCGGAGTCTTTTGCTCTTTTTAATACTTTTGTTTTGTTGTTTTGTTTATTTTTATGATTTTTTGAAGTTACAGCTGCTTTGAATATTATTAATAAGATTAAGATTTGAGGGATTTTTTAAAAAAATTAAAAGCCATATGGTCAGCTTGGAAAAGAGAAAGCTTGATGGTCTGTTACAAAAAACATGGATTTTACACCGTCTAGATTTTGATGGCTTGGTAAGCAGGACAATTTTCACATTGCTTAGTGATAGCATTTCAAAACAAATCTCACCGGGCTCAAGGTTGACTCAGCCTTCCATCCTTCCGCGGTGGGTAAAATGGGGACTCAAATTGTTGGGGACAATATGCTGAGTCCGTAAACTACTTAGAGAGGGCTGTAAACCACTATGGAGTGGTATATAAGCCTAAATGCTATTGCTATAGTGTAGTAACCAAAATTCAATGCAGTATTCCAAGTGGGGTTGCAATCATTAAACAAGGACTGTGTATGTAGGTAATTGAGGACCTCCTGCTCCTTTTGGCTTCCTGCCTGCTTCCTCATTGACACTGTTTGTGGGAAGCCATCAGAGAATATAGGAAATCACAATCAGATTGCATGGATGTTGCAATAGTCAAAATTAAGAGGGCCCATTATAAGTACCACTTGTTCAGTGCCATTGTAACTTTGGACAGTTGCTGAAGAAACTGTCGTAATCCGAGAACTAACTGTACATGCTGTTCTGTCCTCTGAACGTTTTCATCTTCTTCAGTTCCCGGAATCCTTGAGCCATGATACCTACTGTCTGTTGGGTATAGAGTTTTTAGAGATTTCTCCAATGCATCTGGCGACAGGAATAGAAGCTCTGCCGTCGTCCCCTTCGTTTTCATTTAGAATACTGAGACTTTAAACCTTGAAAGTGCATTAACCGTTGGACACATGTCCCTTTTCTTTCTTTAGTTGATCATGTTGTTCCGGAGCCCGGCACCAGTTTGATTTCTGCATTTGATCAGTGGCGAGAATGGGCCGACAGCAAGTCCTGCTGCGATTACTCTTTGCACGTGGACATCACAGAGTGGCACAAGGGAGTTCAAGAGGAGATGGAAGCTCTGATTAAAGATCATGGTAAGTCTTGGAAAAATCTTCTGAGTACTTGCACAAAAGTCATGTTCTAGGCTAGTGCCAAGTGGTCTGTGTCCCAGTTGTTATCTAAAAATGTACTTTCCAGTTTCTCTTGGTAGGAGAATTTCCCCTTGCTCAAATTGGGATAAATCAACATGGAGACATTATAAAGTAGCGATGAACTTTTAACTGAATGGCCGTGATCTAGTTTACTTTGATTCCAACATTTAGCCACCAGCTGTGACTGGCCACCTTCAGAGGGCAGAGTTGGTTGCTTTGTGGGGTGCCTCTCAGCAGCTCACAGGAGGAGAGGTTGTGTTACTGACAGGTACATCACAATGTAGCTCGCTTTGCCTCTGAAGATGCCAGTCAGATGCCAGTGCTGGTGAAATGTCAGAACTAAAGAAAATTAGACCACAGCCATTCAACCCCAAAACTCATTATTGCTGTAAAAGCCTACAAAATAAAACAATAAGTGAAATTATTCCAGGCTTAGAGTTAACAATAATAGTTAATGCTACACAAAGCTGTGTTGGGGCAGTGGTTAGAATGCAGTATTGCAGGCTATTTCACTGCTCACTACTAGGAGTTCGATTCTGACCAGCTCAAGGTTGGCTGAGCCTTCCATCTTTCTGAGGTTGGTAAAATGAGGACCCAGATTGTTGGGGGCAATATGTTAACTCTGTTAACCACTTAGAGTGGGCTGTAAAGAATATGAAGCGGAATATAAGTCTTAAGTGCTATTGCGATTGCTCCTTGAAACAAACCATTTCAGGATGGAATGTATAAAAACTCCAAATAATTTGTTTCACTCTCCCCTTCTTTTTTCCCCACATATCCTCCCGACCCATTCTATGCCTTCTGAAAACATTAGTTTTCCAGTTGAGAAGGTAACCATTGAGTTTTGTTCAAGCATGTGTGTATCTTCCTCTTGCATTTAAGCTTGAGGCTCTCTTAAAAACTGTTGATGCCTTCCTTTTGAACATGGATGAAGGTTTGGGTTGCATGTGGACACGTGGCTAATTTATCCCGCTGTCACGAGTGTGATGTGGCAGCAACTGCTGGATACCGTAGAATGTAGCTGCGGCAGTTGAGTGTCTTCTGAAAAGAATGGCTTTGCACTTTCTGCAGAAGAAGTCTTGCTTCATGATTGTCACTGGTTGGGGTGATTCCAGGAGGCGTTGATGTGCTTTGGTTAGGAAACAAAGGCAGAGAACCTAACAGCTCCATCAGTTGATAACAGTTTTATGAGGTGATGCCTACATGTGAAAAACAACCTCGTGTTTGTTTCCACCTCTCTAGTATTATGAACTGGTGCATATTAGAAATATTATATTATTATGAGCCGAGGTGGCGCAGTGGTTAGAATGCAGTCCTGCAGGCTACTTCAGCTGACTGCCAGCTGCAGTTCAGCAGTTCAAATCTCACCAGAGTCAAGGTTGACTCAGCCTTTCATCCTTCCGGGGTGGGTAAAATGAGGACCCAGATTGTTGGAGCAAGAGGCTGACTTTGTAAACCGCTTAGAGAGGGCTGTAAAGAGAGCACTATGAAGCAGTATATAAGTCTAAGTCCTAGTGCTATTATGGGATAGGATTTTCCCAGGCCATAGAAACTGACTCGTGTTCTCCACACTTGTTGGAGGTCAGTTTGTACAATTCTATATCCAGTGGAAGTTGCATTTGAAAATGTCTGATGGATACCAGGCTAAAGATACACTCCCATCATTGCTAATCTTATGTGTAGATTCCTCTGTAAACGGACTGGGGATTCATTTTCAGTCTCTCTTTCTAATAGGAGTCAATTCCTTCTTGGTGTATATGGCTTTCAAGGACCATTTTCAGCTAACAGATTCTCAGGTAAGACTGCTGCTGAGCAGGTTCTGAGCATTGCATTTCTACTTTAATCCTGGGCTGCTACTGGTTGTATTCCACAGTATAACTGGCTTTGTGAGAGCTGGACGAACAAGACTATCCTATTCCCAAACTAAGAAGTATACAAAAATGGGTTGGCTGTTTCTTGAACCAACTTGTGTCGAGGAATTTGGCAGCTCCCTGCAGCTGGGCTGGAAGCAAATGCTTCTTGAGTAGCAAGTACAACATTGTGATTTGTACTAGTAGGTGGAGTTTTTTAAAAAACAAAACAAAAACCTTCCCACCCAACCACATTCCTTTTCTTTTTCTCCAGTGTTTTCAATGGGATGATAAGTTGAATTCTGGCAGGGAAATCAAAACACAACTTTCCTTATTCCTATCAGTCAGAATTTAATGCATTCAAAGATACTTGGACAAAATTCTGGAAATGATTTCTCCATTAACGTACAACAATGACCAACTTTCTTTTTCTTCTTCTTCTTTTTCTTCTGTTTCTCTCCTTATGAAGACAACTTCAATTTCTCTTTTTTCTTTTTTCCTCTCCTAGATTCATTGGGAATCGGGTGGAAATTTAATTATAAATAAATAGATGAACAACCTTCTAAATACTTTCTCTTTCGGCTCACTGGACCACTCTTTTATTCTAGATCAGGCTTCTCAACCCAGCTTCTTTCAGTTACGGATGGAAGTGTATCTCCCCAAGTTGTGTTGGAATTGTAGGGATTGAGGTCAATCATTTGAGTGGATCTAAATTTCCACGCAAATGGACTTGAACTGCTGGAGGGCAGCAGCAGAACAACATTGCTTATGTATTAAATTTTTGACTCATCATTAACCAGAGTTTTCCGGATTCTTTTGCTTGTAGGCATGTGTATGAAACAAGATGACCTTTGAGCCATTTTAGCAAGGTTAATATATGCTTTTAATTTAATTAGCTATTAGCCTAGAGCCTTTACTGCTGAGCTGATTGTGTCAGCACTATAGTTTCAAATCCTCCCTTGCCTTTGGTACTTGAATCCAACCTTTGGAGAACATTTTCTTTCCAGCGGAACCTACTACATTCTTATCTAACAATATTTAAAATAATATTGCAATAATAACTTGCCAGTCTGTGGAAGAACTATGGTATAAATTGAAAATATCCATACTGGGCCCTGCCTTTTTAGAGTTTTGGTATTACTTAACACTGATTTGGCCAGAATAAGATTGTTGAATGGGTTTCCAAAGATCCAGTATAGATTTGATGTTGCTGAAGAAGAATGTAAATCAAGGGGAAAATGATTTATACAACAACTTTAAGTAGTGTTTTGTGGTTGATAGGAATTGGGGGAAAAATAATGTAGAGTTAGACAGCATCTCATTTATTTTAGTCATAAATATTTTTCCCCTAAGTCTGAAAATCCCTGGATATTGTCCAAATAAACACAGAATTGAGTTCAGTGACCTTTATAAGACTTTGAACTTTGAGAGTAGGAATCTGAGCTTATCAAGTAACATGGAGCAGATTGGGAAGTAGTTCAGGAAAATGCATGTTTTCTCTTTTACTCAACAGATTTATGAGGTCCTGAGCGTAATCCGCGACATTGGTGCAATAGCTCAAGTCCATGCTGAGAATGGAGACATCATAGCAGAGGTAACTCCTGCTTGCAGTCCTGTTAGTAGTGTTTCCAAATGTGTTTATTACACATGGGATTCAAACTTGGGCCATACAGTTTGCAAAGCGTGTTAAAAAAAATGGTGCATTAGAAGGAGAAAATTGCCTGAAATATATTTCATCGGACAAACCTGCTTGCAGAAATGAATCTATTGTGAGAATTACATTAAAAAATCCAAATAGTAGAAGAAATGTATGTGCTATTAATACTCTTGTGCCTGCTTGATTGTTTGCAATCTTTTAATGGGCAAAACAGTGCATTGTAGGGCAACAATTTTTGAATCAGTGTGCCTCAAATGAGCTAACTTTACATAATGCTTCTGAAATCCAGGATCTATGACTCACGTGCGATTGAAATTTGGCAAAGCTATGGCTGCTTCAGTGCTGCCACGTTGCCGTGGTCCGCTGTAGTCACGCGACTGTCCTTTCCAGAGCTCCCTGCCAGCTTCCTACAAGGAAAGTCAGTGGGGAAGCCGGCAGGAAGCCAGAAGCTTCCCCTCCTGCTGCTTTTTTGTCTGCCTGTGGTCGTTCTGGTTCAGCCTTTAGGTAAGGAGATATCTCAGACAATGACCCCATGGTTGCCGGTTGTCTCGTGTGTAATTAAAAGTAAACTGACTTTAAACGAATATTACAATAAATTGTAAACTTCGTGAGAAATGGCAGAGCGGACAGTTAGACCAGCGATGGCAAACCTTTTTTGGCTCGCGTGCCATAAGCGGGGGAGCGCAGGGGGTCGTGCATGGGGGTGACACACCCATAATGCAGTGCGTGACACTCCACCCCCTGGTGTGCATGCGTGCATGACAGGCGCTCTCTCTCATTTTTTGCATGCTTTTTTCACCCTCCCCAGGCTCCAGAAGCTTTATAGGAGCCTGGGGAAGGCGAAAACAGCCTCCCAGTCCCCTCCGGAGGCTTCAGGAACTTCCCTGAAGCCTCTGGAGCACAAAAAAATGGCCCTATGGGCAAACCAGAAGTTTGGGAATAGACTTCCGGTTTGCTCGTAGGGCTGGTTTAAGCCCTCTGGAGCCTTCAGGGGCCTTCTGGAGGCTTCCCTTAAGGTTCCAGAGGACGAAAAACGGGGTGGGTTGTACTAGAGGACCTACAAGATCCCTTCCAACTCTGTTAATCTGTTACTAGTGGAAGTTAGATTTTCCAAGAATTCAAACTAGGTCCTCTAGCTCAACTCTAGCAGAAGGTCTTCTGTCAACTTGGCCAATTTCTAGGCAGGGTTCATATACCATGCTCAACCCTAGATGGCAGACTACAATTGCCCTAGTGACAAACTTTTCACCCCAAACGAGGAAACCATAACATAGTTTAATGGGATGGTCTGGTCCACACAACACGCTAAGATTATGATTAACAATATTCCCAATCACAGAGCGCACAACCAACCCTTTTTTAACCTAACCAAGATGTTCTCCAGTTGGGACTTCCTTACTAGGATTAAAAAGTGCAAGCATCCCATGTTTGTATTCTTGCATTAGTCCTATGTGCTTGCTCATGTTTGATATCATTTATTTCTCGTTAGTCGAGCTCCTGAACGGCCAACCTATGGCACACGTGCCACAGGTGGCACGCGGAGCCATTTGTCAGGGCGTGTCACTTTCGATTTGCTCATAGGGCCGTTTTTAGTCCTCCGGAGCCTTCAGGGAACCCTACACCATTTTTGACCAATGGCAGCCCAGTCTCTTGTTGAAATCTTCCAGTGATGAAGCTCCCACTGTTGTAGAAAATGACAGGACACACAAGCCAGCTCTTCAGAGAAGGAAAAGTTTATTTGCGCAGGTTCTAAATAAATGGCCTGAACGTTGTGTGAAATTCAGGAACTTCCTTATATATTTTATCGCTTTCAGCTAAAGCCATCTGTTAGTTTTGGAAACACCCCTCAAGATTTGCCCTTGAGTTACANTGACTCAGCCTTCCATCCTTCCGAGGTGGGTAAAATGAGGACCCGGATTGTTGTTGGGGGCAATATGCTGACTGTGTAAACCGCTTAGAGAGGGCTGAAAGCCCTATGAAGCGGTATATAAGTCTAACTGCTATTGCTATTGCTATTGCTTTGTGCAAACAGTGTATTAATTTACCTAATTCTGTGTAATACACCAAATTATGCAAATGTCCTTTGCCTGGAGCAAATAGAAAAAATTAGAACGACTCTACTTCAACGCAGTATGTAGCAGTAAGAGCTGCAAATGCTACAATAGTGGTGGCCACGCATGTCTGCGAGACATGCGGCAGAACTTTTCGTGCCCGTATAGGCCTTACCAGCCGCCTGCAGACACATGGTGGACAGCCCACAAGCTGTTAGATGTCAAGGTCCTCTTCGAACACGATGGATGGGGGGATTTGTTTGTGATGGGATGTGGCATGGCATCACATGCTTCAGTCCCTTTTCTTCCAGAACTTCAGGAAAGCAGTTTACAAGAAGAGAAGTGACCTGAAGGCCATTTGCAATACTGTCAGATGGTTTTATTCGACTTTTTTTTGCAGAGTATTTCAAATATTCATCCGCCAGTGTTTGGCGCACTGATTGGGACCTCAAGGATATCAAGAGAAGGGCGCTTACACTAGCTGCATACTTTTCTAAGCTGTGAACCATGCTTGGGTTCATGCAGGGGCGATGTGTAAGGTTTTAATTATGGTGCATTGCCAGCTTACATGTCTGAACCAGAGGATGATCTGCATCTTCAAAGGAGGCTATTGGAAGATGATGAAAAACAGATTCACAATGGAGGTTCAAACCAAGTTGAACCTATTTTAATAAGAGGACAATGTTGTGTCCTGCTGCTTTGAGTCCTTTGCAGAATCATAAGGATTTGCTTTGTAAGAAATCATACTTTGGCGGGCTCATAGAGTGACGAAGCCATGTTTTGTTGAATAGGGGCCACAGTAACTGGGTTCCGACAATATGCTAACCATGAATCAAACCATACTGTTTGTTTATTTAGCGCATGGCAAATACATGGACTTATAGTGGTTCAAATGTTAACGTCTAGTCCACCCAACCATTCAAGGACAGGGTGGTCTATGTTGAAAAAAATCAGACATTGGGACGGTGTAAGCTCTTGATGGACATTCAGATACAATGTGGTGGATATTTTGTGGAGGAGCACCACAGTCACACTGAGGGGTAGAGTAGAGACAAAACCATACTATGTCTTAATGAGATATGAGTCCAATTCCTTAAGTTGTTCATCTGTCTGTAGTTCTGGACTGCCCTAATTTGAATGACAGGGCAATATGCATGAGCAGCCCAAGTAATGACTATCATACATTAGAATGATCCAAGCTAAATATAGTTACAATTACTCAAAACATAACAAAGAAACAGATGTGCTTCTGTACTCCTCCAGGACCAGGAGTTAAGATCTTGTGTGTGTGCTGATTATGGGCTGTAGAACACTTGTAAGAACATTTAGAGGAAGAGAAGGGTCGAAGTAACTTAGGAGCACACAAGTACATTCATCATAAACTTTGCAGGCATGCACTCCCACCATATAATATCCCAAAATACAACTTGGAAGCAGAGAATTCACTCTGGTGCAATTCAGGAATCTAATGATGCAATGTATTTCCAAAAAATAAAATTAAAACAAAAGAATTTTTGTTGCCTAGATACATTATACGTTCCTTTTGGGTTGCTGAGCACCCATAAATTACCATTTTCTTCCAGTATTGCAGTATAACTACTGAACAGTTGGATGACTTTTTTTAAAAGAAATTCCCCATCCTTGGACACCACAGTTGTCAAAGATTGTCTTTGACTTCTTTCTCTTATTCAAGCGTTTATTACGACTTGGAAATGCAGTTAAATCAATCACCAGTCCCCCCCCCCCCCTCTTCTAAGAGTTCCTTGGGGTTTTCAAAAGATATCTGTTTTTAAAGAGCTACATTGATGTTTCTTTTTTTTTTAATGGAGAATAATTGTTCACAAAAAATGCTGCTGAATCCCTTGATGGGTTTCTTTTTTGGGGGGGTGGGGGGAGAAGAAGCAAGAGCTTTTTTCTTTTATCCAAGTAAATCCTCCAAGTTACAAAATCTAATTGGAAACATAAAAATGAAGAATGAGAATGACTGCGTTTTCTCCTTCCATTTTAGCTATTTTTATCTTCTGAATGCTAGAAAAAGTAACTGGTGGTTGGATATATGTGTGCATTTTTGGAAATGTGTCCTAGTTTTCGATGTCTTTGGATCCAGGTTTAATTATGGGTTGTTTGGGGTTTTGAAATGGAGTGACCAAAGGCTAGACTTTTTCTGCCTCCCTTCCCTTTGCTTTCTCTAAATCTCTTCCAATTATTTTTTAAAAAGGGAGCAATTGATGAAATTGAATATAATTTGTCTGCATGGATTTCTTTAAGAACAACTATTAAACTTACACGAACTATTATTTGGTTTTTCTGATCTAAAGCTAGGACTGATCTTTCTGCTTGCTGTTTTTAATTTTCAGAAGATGAATAAAAATATTTGTAGGGAGAGGGGAAATTTGGTTGCGTTGAATTCTCAGTTTGAGTCAGAGAAAAATCTGTATTTTTCTAGGTTTTCCCTAGCAACATAAATCTTCACTACTCAGAAATTCAGCCCCACGTGCAGTAGCTAACTTGTAGCAGATGCTTCCCAGATGCCTCACAGCGAAATTCGATGGTTTTGCTCTAGAATTTATTTCTCTTATCAAATGTTTGTCAACTTTTATCTATGTAATCCTTGTACCTGGTCTGCAATTTCTTGCAATCTCTTTATCTTTCTTATCTCTTCCCTAAAAGCTGCATCATTCTTGCATGAATTAAAAAAAAACATGTGAGAATCTGGCCATTTTTAATGTTTTAATTTAGGATTATCAAGTGTTCCTGGATTTCAAGAGTCTAGCATATTATTTAGCAATAATGTGCTAAATCAAGCAATAATAACCTGCAAGAACAATAACAAACCAGGGTTAAAATGTACAGATCTAACGTGATTTTTGAATCCAGATATTGCAC